CCTCCACATTAGTGGAGCTGCTGCTTGCACAAAATTTGCATAAAAGAAAAAAAAAACGAAGAAAACTGAAATATTGCAGTTGTTCCACCGCATCACTTTGTGATAAGGTGCAGCGCTACAGACCACTGTCTATGCTGCTTTCTCATTCGCCGAAAGTTTTCAAAGTTGTTTCTACGAAGCTCTTGCTTTGCTGTAGTCATTTTTGTTCCCAGAGAGGTGATTTTGATGGAGCCATGCATTCAATGTAAGAGTTGGTGATGTGAGTACTCTAATTAGTTTGCAATAAAGATATCAGCACACCTATATATAGCTTTTCTCTACGAATTAAGAACTAGTTTTTCAACAAGCATGTTTTGTTCCTCTTTTTTAAACTTCAGTAATTCGATATCCCTCTACTGCTATGACAGAGGGTGGGGACTGTGATAGAAGACGATTGTTCTTGCTGTATGATAAAATAAAGAACACAGTTTTAAGACTACACTTAATTAACCAACAGCACGTGAGGCTCAAGAACTGCAGCTGTACACATTAGGTTGTGTTCATAGGTTTTTATTAGATTGTGTGTAGCAAAGAATTAAAGCTAATGTTCGGAGGCTAGCGGGGTCAAGCACTTCGCTTGTGCGAGAGCGTGTATGCTTTGCTTCGCCGGCATATTGTATCGACAAAGAACACCCGCCTGCCGGCCAAGACAGGTGACAAAACAAAGGAAAGCCATGTGGTTAAATGCTTGCAGATCAATTATGAATGCTATTGAAACCCTGATATATAATTTTTTTAACCAATCTGTGACAAAGACTTAGGTGTAGACTAGGAGATTGGTGCATACTTCTCCCAATCAAACACAAACACACACAAAATCCTGGTGATACCTTTGAATAGAGAGAGGAGCGATAGAAAAATGATAGCTCATTTAATTGACACTGTGAATTCCATGAAATAAATGTCATGCAATATTGTACAGTGCATGCAAAAATGACAAAAGCACATGACAAAGGGAGACGAGCACAAGACACATTCAGAGTGCCACAAGCGTGCATGGCCTGGTTGTGAAATGGAGGAAGAGAGTGGTTGTACAAGTCAAATCAATACAAACTGATTATAAGGTGTCAAGGACTCTGCCACAGAACCAGCAATATTGAAGTTGGTCACACTTTGCATGCCCGATATGCTCGAGGAAAAAAAAAATGTATGCACATCATACAAATAACAAACTATGCCGATGCACGCTATCATTGCAGGGTACCTAGGAACAATCCACCCCTGTGGCCACACAAAATATCATCAGCTTGCTTATCAGCTCCTTGACTTTATCTGTGTGCACACATGTTGACGTGCCGCAGTTTCCAGTGCATGACTTTAAGAAGCGAAATCAACTAGCAATTTGATTTCTGCACAAAATAATTTAAAAAAAACAATGACCATGACGGTCAATAATAGTGAACCCTCACAACCAGCCAAGTATCATTGTGTCAACAATACACAACACACAGCATGTGTGGCCGAAATCTTAGCACCTTGCATGATGCAGCCATAACCTGGAAATTCTGCGAAGTAAAGAATTGTGTTTGAAATAGCAGTCCTTTCAAGACAAAAGGACACATTTGACATCGTTAAAGAAAACAACTCAAGTCCAAACTAATCGTGCCGTCAATGCCATTACCCCGCATTACAGGATGCTGCCGGTTTACAAGTAAGCAGCCCTTGCGCATTGAACCTAAAAAAATACTTACAGGTTACCTAGGAATTCACAATATCTTGCAGACAATAGGTGGATAGCAAAATGGCGCGTCATCTGCTACAGTACTTTTGGTTCAAGAACTACCCGTTCGCTGCTTCAAGGTGGCAGCTGTGCAGTGTAATTGGGGAGGGAAAAATTGGTAGATCCCATGTACAAAGGGAATCGATGATATGCGAAGCACGAATGAGGCAGGTTGAATTGTTATATTAAAATCAGCACAACGTTACGAGGTGGACGTAAATTATGCCATACATGATTTCCACGTCATGATTATCATGTTTGCGCCTGGCATATATGCTCGTCGTCCATTCACGTCACGTAATACCAAATTTGGTATATGTGAAGCTAGAGAAACGGCCGAGAGCACGCTATGTGCATAGCATGTAGTGATGTTTTACGTGACATGGATGTAACGATTATCATGTTTGGACATGTAATTTATCTTCGCCATCTATTCATGTCAGGTAATACCAAATTTTGTATATGTGAAGCCAACGAAACAGCCCCGAGTGCACCATAAGCATAGTATGTAGTCATGCTCTAACATGACACGCATATCATGAACATCATGTTTGCACCTTCATTATCCGCTCATGTAACGCCAAATTTGGTATACATGAAGCTAGCGAAATGGCCGCGAGCGCACTATGAGCGTAGCAGAGTCAAGTTTTACATGACACGCATGTCATGATTATCATGTTTGGACGTGTCATTTACCTTTGTCATCTGTTGGCGTCACGTAATACCGAATTTGGTATATATGAAGCTAGCCACACGACCGCAAGCGCATCATGAGCGTGGCATGTAGTCATGTTCTTATGCGACACGCATGTCATGGTTATCATGTTTGCACCAGTCATATACTTTCATCATCCATTCAACTCAAATAATACCTAATTTGATGTATGCGAAGCTAGTGAAATGAGTGCAAGCGCACCATAAGCGTCGCATGTAGTCATGTTCTTACATGACATGCATGTCATGATTTCTACATGAGGGCCTGTCACTAACATTCCCCATGCAGTCATGTCATACCATACCAATTTTGTGGTATGTCATGTGAATGAAACCACCTCAGAAGCAGCAAGCCCTTGACATGTAAATCATGAGATTCGTAACATGCATGTCATTATTTTCGTTTTATGACTAGTCACTTGCGCTCGTCATACGGTCATATTATGCCATACCAATTTTGGTATAGACTTCATTATCCAAACAGCCAGGAGAGCTAAATGTTGTAGGCGGCTAGATAGATAGATAGATAGATATATAGATAGATAGACAGATAGATGCGATCATACTCGCCGAAGTTCGCTAAGATATGCTTCGCATTTAGTGCATCCAATTTTGTGGCATGTTGTCGCCGCTCGTTCAATGATTGTGTTCTTCAATTCTTTTTGCGCATTGTAGAAAAAGAAGCGAGAAATGGAAATGAACAAACACGAAAAACAATAAGAGGCGAGTTTCGAGCGCAGCATGAGGTTATACTTTGAAACATGAGGGAAGATTTTGCAGAACCACCTCAATTTAGCATTTTAAAGCACAAACAGTGATCACTTCGAAATCACTTACACCTACGGACACATGCTTCCAAATGATAGCATGCGCACAATGACAACATAAGTACTCGTACTCTGCCTGATCAAGTACCATGATATACATGTATTTGCATTGCCTATTCTGCATCGCTAACGGTCAGTCAAGTACGTGGAAACAGCTGAGCGCGTGAAAGGAACACGGGACAAGACGGCTGCTTTATTGATGATATCGTGGGATGTAAAAGAAACAAAGTCGCTTTTGAAGCAACGAGTAGCATGGTATGGTGTCTCTAGTATGTCAGACTTTCTACCGTGAAGTGCCAATAGGCTGTGTTATGTATGTTGAGAGCCGAGAATTTTGCATATATTGAAACACAATGTTCGAATGCACGAGGGAATGACATCTCACGTAAAGGGAGATGGAAAGGCGTAAAAAATGCCCCTACCTCCCCGAAGGAAATTGCGAGAAAATGCAAAGTATTGCGCAGCGTCCATAACGGTGTTTCGCACGTGAGAACCCAGCGTTAGGACAATAATGTTTTCTTTTTTTTTTCTTGCACTGTGTAGCCAATAGCATCATTCGCAGCACTTGTAATTTTTCTGCTGCGAGAAGCGCGGTATGCTCTTCCAGCTCTAGTAGCTAGGATGCACGGTTAAAAAATACTATTAGGTGAACAAAACAAACAGCATTCTCGGCTCAGCGTTTCACAGCGGCGTCTCAAGCACACATTTACAGATGTTCTTGAAAGGTGCCCAGCCAGCAAACGATCGAGAGTGAAGCATGAGCGGATGGGAAAGTGGGGTGCAAGGATAAGAGAGAGCGAACAGCGAGAGAAGGAGCGGCAACATAAAAGTAACTAATGTCACCGGTGAGAAACATGAAAACAATTGGGTGGATATTTCGTGATGCTATGATGTGCTGAAAAATTTTTGTATGTGACAAAACACGCACGATCATGCTTTTTGCTACTAAATTCAAACCATGTGCCTGGAGGCGCACGGCGCTTGAATGAAGAAATGACCGCTCGCACGATTATAACTATCTCCTATCTCGTAGTGATTGTGCTTGTTTTTCAACTACAAGCTGCATAGCACTTTAAGGTGAAATTCGTGAAAGAAGAGCACCATGAGTGCTGGGTGCAACACGCAGAAAGCGACAGCATCGGCAAGAATGCTTCTATCGCGGCACGGCATCTCGAACCGGAAGTCAATGCAAACAGGCGCCGTAGCCTGCAATCCTTTGCGTGAGCCACGATTTTGCTATTCACCTATTGACATATAGCGTGGTGCATTGTGTATTTTGTATCCTCTTCGTACAGACTAGGCACACTAGGCAAAGTCAGGTGGACCTCTTATCTCCAATGCTAGAGGAGGCTTTCCACAAAAAAATGGCTAAAAGTTGGTTTGGGTCAACTATTCTGATTTCCAAGACACTTCTGTGAAGGTTTCCACGCCTGTGTTAGCACTCTTCACAGCACATTTCCGCAAGACTTACATGCTTAAAAAGAAAATTCCCATTCATACATCAGATTTAAAGTCACCAAATGTTTTACCGAAGAAAAATAAAATAAGATTACCATACAAGCCATTAACTAAATTGTACACATGTGCTATATCAGCACTTACAGGTCAACAGTCTCATAAAGAACAATGCCCTGTGGAGGGTGTCTCACATTCAAGTCCACATTCATTAAGCACAGCCTTCTTGAAATACTACAAAGCCACAGTAATAACATTTTAATGAATTTTTGCTCTAGCACTACTTCCCAATATATAAATAAAACTAGGATTCCAGAGCTACAATACACACTGAACGAAGGCAATCAGGGGTGAGAACGTGACAGACATGTGAGACTACTATATCATTGGTAGCAGTTATCAAAATCAGTGTTATTTTTCAGCTAACAGGCTCGGACAAGGACGTTACATGTGAAGTTACAACAATGTGAAGACAGCAGCCTTTTTCAAATTAAAGAAAGCAAGACGCTTTGAAAACCAATAAATGAATGTCTGCAACAGAGGTATGAGCTATGAAGTGGTAATCAATTTAAACTTGTAAGCTAGCAATTAGTGACTACAGTGGCTCTGCTTCAGGCCTACAGAATCTAGCATGACACAAGCACAGAGCACAAAGTGTCTAAATGATCACAAAGAAATTCCTTCAATTAGAACTTTATTGCTGATCAAGCCAGTCATATTTTCACTCATTTTATCTTTGTGAAGTTCAATGACTGCTTGCTTACTGATATCCCCAACAATACACAATGATTTATAAGTAGCTTAAATAGGCTATTAGAGACTTGCGCAACCCATTATGTTTTACGAGATGAATATTTCTCATGTAAAATGATGCTCTTCTGACGACATATTCTTAAGCCCATAAATACGAATTCATATGTGAATTATTGATATACAAGCTTTTATTTCTCAGACAGAATAAACTACATCACATTAGCAGACAACATTCTTTCGTAATATCCAAATTTAGTGGTGAACTTGCACTGAATCAGTCCTATATAAATCCCTCATTCTCATGGCCAGGTCATTACCACAGTGGCCTATATTTTTGTAATTAGCCATGACATCAGGATGGGGGATAACATGACCAACTAAGGCAGTGCTTTAATAATGTGTGCTCCAACGATTGACCCGGTAATACACTTGACGAGCTACAATTTCCTATCCTCATGTGAATGCAAATGATTACAAGGATTAACATTCCAATCATGGTGTGTTCAGATGGCAATTAAACAATTCCTTAAGTAAAAAACAGAACAAAATATTGACAGACTTCACTTTGCTTGCTCTAATAACAATACACTTATGTCTACTGTTGTGGCAGGACACAACAGAGTTTGCTTAGGCAAACTGATGCTGCACAAAAAAGAATAAAACAATACAAAAAGAAGTCTGAACATAACAGAACAATGCAAAGAGCTGTCATTTTTCGCAATGGAAAAACAAATGTTCCCCTTACTGCAGGCTGTCACATCACAGAGTAGATGGCAGAAGGATGAAAAAGCTCTATGCCCCCCTCCAAAGTTTTCCTCTCGGACTGTAGCACGATTTGGCAGACCGAAACTCCTTTCTGAAACATGCAAGCTAATAGCCAACCTTCACCACACGATGCCTGCTCTTCACTTGGGCTCCACAGGACTTGTACAAAGTAGAGCTGTATTCCACCTATTGAATGCTGCTGCCTTGGGCAGGAATTGTGGTAAAGCAATGAAAGTGAAAGGTGACAGGCTAAAAAAACGCCAGCTCGTTTTATCTTGGAGAAGTCTCGTACATTTTTCTCGCACATTTTTTTCACTTCCTGCCCTACAGCACCGACTGCGATGACAACTTCAGTCGCTGCTGCTTGACCCACTAGAGCTTGACCTACTACGCCTACTCTTGCGACGAACCGGCGTCCTCTTACGATGCCCTCTGCGGCTGCTGCCACGACCATCGCTGCTGGAGCTTGAACTCGAGCTCGATGACCTCGAACTGGAGCTGGGCGATCGCCTGCGGCGCATACGGCCTCTGCGTGAACTTCCCCCACCACGTGAACCGTCCGAAGATGAGCCACTCTCGCTGCGCCGCCGACTTCGACCACTTTTGGTTCGCCTTCTGTCGCTGCTGCCACCGCCATCTGATGACGAAGATGAAGTTGACGATGAAGACGATGACCGCCGGCGCCGGCGCTGCGACAACGATCTGTTCCGACCTCGCTTGCGGCTTCTAGATCGAGAACGTGATGATAGCAACTCATCTTTCCCTCGCCGCGATACTTCCCTTGTTGTCTTGGTAGCAGAGCGGGAATGACTCGTTGATGCCACCGGCATCTTTGTGGCTGTGACTGCTGGCTTGTTCGCTGGTTGCTCGGCTTTATTAGCAGCTTCTTTGGCCTGGCCTGTGCGTTCTGGCTTAGTGGCTGCCGAGGAAGACTTGGCTGCCGAATGGCTCTTGTCCGCAAGTCCTGCTTTCTCTGGCTCTTTAGTGGATGAAGGTGGTTTTGAAGCTGACAATGACTTTGATGTAGACTGTGATGACCGGTCTGGCTGCTTCGGTTCAGTGGACTTTGATGTGGAGGGAGCACTCTGCCATCGGCTGCTGGTGGATGGTGGCGTTGGCGTCGCACCAGACGTACCGGGAGAAGTCACACTGAAAGCAATAATAGCAACTGCTGACACCACAAGTAAAGTTCATTCAAGCAGGCGCCGAAATAAACCACTCGGTAAGAAAAGCTTCTGGTGGAAACCAGACAGTAAATTACTACAAGCTGAGTCATCACAAGCATGTTTGCAGAATAATACGTCAAAAAAAACTATAGTCATACCACAGACGCTGGATTAAAAAGCACACGAGTACGGCCCACCACGTGCTCCGAAACCAGCTTGACAGGTCTATTTACCCAGACCATCACTGCAGCGCCACCGGGAGGGGCGTTGTGTGCGCCCACGGAATCGCATGCGCGGTGCTCTTTCGGTACTTACGATTGAGCATGCGTATCTTTGTGTGACCTGCGAAATCTTTTTTTAATATTCCTCTAGCGTGTGCCCTTCAGGTAATTACCGACCTTGCTTCTACATACCTGCAGCCCTTGCAAATTTTCGGTATTGTCAGGCCTGAGATGCATCCTTGCACACCAATCAGTTTTCGCAGAAGAAAGAGCTCTGAGCACATTTTAATGAGATCCTATAAGATAACAACTAACCGATCTGGATGAGTTACACCTTGTCTAATGCATCGAAATTCAATATAGTAACTATGAGTATGTTGCTTCAGATTTAATGATTTCATTTGGAATATGTAACCTCAATTGCAGTTGCCACTACTCATCTCACACAAAGTGAGATAGACTTTTGACTTCCTCAAAACACGCCTATAGCATTCAAACAATACAGTATCAAATGCAACAGCCACGAAATGATACTTAGCATGTGTGTGGTCTCATAAAGGTGGACTCAAGCCTCTTTTAAATTTTAGTGACCAACTTAAATGCTGGCAACTGAGAAAGCTGTTGTGAAGTGAATAATATGAAAACTGTGAAACGAAAAGAGCGATGAAAGGCTGAAAAACGTGAACACAACTGCTTTCGTTCCTGCTCTTTCGAGTGCTTTCGTCTTTCTTTGTCACGACGTTCTAATGATAATGCAACTAATTCAACTTTACGTTTAACAGTGAACACATAATCGGAACAAAACGCGAGAAAATATTTTATTTATTCTCAATTTAGGGCTGATCTTGGATTTTTAAAACTTTTTACCTCTTTGCATAATAAAATGAGTTTACAATTGCTTTACAGCCGCGTCAGTGATATTTTTCAGAGAGAACATTCGGTTATTTGCATATTAGATGGCAACACACACTCACACACACACAAAAAAAATGTGCTCTAATCCACACCCGACAAGCATATATGTTCACGTTCACACCACCACAGCCGCTGGCTGCAAACGTTGCATCTAGAAATCGTGACACCACCTTCTAGTTTCCAGTTTTCTCTTGGCTAGTTTTTGATTTTTTTTTCTAATTCCGAGCTTATCTCTAGTTTTCATTTAAAGCCTGCCTTTCAGCCCGTGCCACCTCTGTGATTAGTTTCGTTTCATTTCCGAACGCTGTCGCGCTGCGGCGTCGTGCATTCTCCCGCAATGTCGTGCGGTACTAATGTTTGTTTTCGTAAAAACCTCGTGTGTATACCTTCCATTGAGAAAGTTCGGCTGTCTGAGGTCATTTGCGGGATGGCACAAAGACTCAAACTTACCTCAGCAAAACATGCAGAGGCCAAAAGGTGCCGAGAAGCAGCTGGTGGGCAACAGGACTTTGTATTTGAAACAAACATATAGTACGTAGATGGCTGCAGACACACATGTTGAGAGCCTCTCACCAGGAGAAGGTGAGGAGGCTCGTTTTGGAACGAGCTGCCGTAGGAAACAAATGGCATGAACACTCTGCTATACTTGTCTCTGTTTAACACATTATTTGTTATTGTTGTTTTGTTCTGCTTTCAGCTTGCACGTCCAACTTTTCACTTCTGTGCCTATCGACTATAAAACCATCTATTTGGTCTTTTCACGTTGGCCTCTCCATGGGCACTGGTGAATCCCGATAGCACTGCAACGCGTTTGTGTTCTGGCAGTCTCCATCACGATATTCTGACATCTATTACTGTTTCTTTGTTCCATGTATTGTCGACGAATTGGCACCTGTGCTCGCTCCAACGAAGGCTTGTGTACTTGACTGCCCTACAGAAGCCGTGGTTTTGTGATGTGTAAACATAAGAATGTGGTTCTCACTTGACCCGGCCATATATAAAAGGCTGGGGAAGTGAATGGCACGTGTATATATATATATATATATATATATATATACATATATATCTTGAGTTTATCCCTGTAATTTCATGATTTTGTTTCTAGAGTTGAGGTCTATTAATGTCAGCTTCATTGCTCGAGATATAAGCCACTCCATGCCAGTATGTATATATACAGTTAAACCTGGATATAACGAAATTGATAAAATTACCGGGAAAATTCGTTATAAAGAAGATTTCGTTACGTGCAGGTTCGGTACGAAAATTTGAAAATTAAACGCGCAAATCCAACAAAAGTGGGACTGAAGGCCGAGCTAACCCAAAACACTTACTTTACAGTAAAAAAACTGTTATTATTGCAATAGAAATTATGTGGACACTCTCGGGGGGGTTTTTGCCGTCGCCACCATATTCCGTAATAAGTACAAATTGATAACATGCCCCCGCGCATTGTAACTTTCACGAGCGGATAAAAGCGCGCGAGCGCTACGGGAGCAGATATCAAAGGAGTCGGCCTATCTACCGTGTGTTAGAACTGCCCTCGAATGCTCACAAAGTAAACCGCCCGTCTTGAAAATGCATGAAACAACGCTGGGAGGAGGGGATCGCTGGAGTAGCAATAATGAACTTGGATTTTAAGGGCGGTCGCGATCGCTGGCGCCCTGGCTATCTCGGCGAGTATCAGTGCAGTTTCAAAAGGGACTGTGTGAAAAGAGCACTTCTGCCTGGAGCGGCTGTATTTGTTCACACCAGCGTTTTAAAGGAGTCCCGCCATATTGAATCCAAAAGAGTCGGCTGCCAGCATTACATTACATTTTTTTGCTATCGCGTTCATTGCATTGCATTCAACATGCCGTCGTGTTGGCAGAACTAATTGCCTAATCGCGAAAGCTACCAGCTTGCGAACTCGCGGCACAAGACGGCAGCACGTGACGAGTCTACCTCGGAAGATCCGTCGTCACCGCGGTCTCTGAGAGTTTCCATCAGCGCCTAATCCGACATCCCGTTGGTGGTGATGACACGGTTGTCCGAAATAAAGAAAATCACAGTTTCACCGCAAGGGTGAAGCAATAAATGCGATAGCAACAACTTGGAATGTAATTATAAGAACGGCAAGCAGATCGAAACGTGCAGCGCGATGCTCACGCACAAATGATGCACGAAAACAACGCATACAAAGGATGAGAGCGAACTGACAACCTTTCCCCTGCTGTTACTTCGCCGTGCTTGAAAAGCGTACCCTTTTCGCAAATGGCGCCTGTCCAGCGAGCGAAGTGGTCTTCGTGTGCCCGGGGTTACGTTTGGCCCGGAAATTCCTCTGGGAAGACGCCATTGTGCGTAAGCCAGTCTGCTAGGATGCTTTCAACCCCATCGGCGCCCAGTATGCAAGACGCTGTCCTGCAGATGTTCCAGGTAGCAGTCGGGTCTCAACTAAAGCTTCACGTGACAAGCATTTTGTTGAATGGGCTCGAACAGCGTGGGACGGCGCCAATGTGGCGGTTCTCTTGGAATCAACCTATCGACTTGGCTGTTGCCGCTGACGCAAAATCGCCACAAAAGCACTGACAGCTTGGAAGCGTGGGAACGCATCGAAGAAGCCGTTCTCAGGGATTGAGCGTTTGGACTGCCATGTTCAAGAGAGTTCTGGAAGTCTGTAGCTGAAAGCAGCCATCTCCCCGGAGGAGCTTAACTTTCCCACTCCGAACACTACCTCCTCGCCATGCAGTGCCTTCAAGGCGTAGGCCGAATGCGTCATTGTGTGTTGCACTCGTGATTACCATTGGACATTTTCACCCACGTTCTTCCTCTCACGAGTGGCCCAATTTCTGCACCCTTTCTAGTGGGTGGACCACTGAGACATCACGTCACTTGATTTATGGCAAGAGTGGTCCCCGACTTCTTCGGTCCTCCATGTAAGAAGACGACGGGCTATAAAAGCCGAAGACATTTTGTAAATAAAAGCTGCAGCATGAGCTGAATCATGAGCTGAAACTTTGTACATAGTTGATTCTCTCTGAATCTCTGTACAGTTCCATCTTTCAACTATCATGTAAATAAACCTTAGTTTTATTTCTCTTATGAACCCGTCTCCTCACTGGCGAAGATCAGCTATGCGGACGACGGCGAGGAGCCAGCTACCATGAAGAAACCCGCCGTACCTGCTATCGACCTCGAGCCCTTTACAACTGGTGGCAGCAGTGTGGGACCGCCATCATCAACCTCTTACTCTTTACACCGGCAACTAAACGCAATCGTTCCGGTCAATATCGAAGACGCGCGATTCTCCCCAAATAAGGATAAGCACACGCGCATCTTATACCCCCCCCATTGGCGGTGCAAAGTACGCGTAGGAGATAAGCGCGCGTCGGCGCATTCGTAACACGGCGGGCGCCGAGCGCGGGCGGATTTTTTTTAGTTTATATATATATATATATATATATATATATATATATATATATATATATATATATATATATATATATATATATATATATATATAGATAGATACGTATACTGTGAATGACGGCGGCGGCGGCAAGAAACCAGCCAAGTCTGTTCATATAGTTGCTGTCAAAATAAAAAAAAAGCAAAAGCTGAAGGTAGTCGGGAGCCACATCATGCGCGCGCAGTGAAACGATGCACGCATGCACAGTGTCGAAACGACACGAACACATACACAGATTCCACAAAAACTATTCGATAAAGCGCTTTCTATATGCAGCGCGGCCTCACATATGTGACGCTAACGAAAAGCATGGCCCTGCCGTCACGCCAAAGTATTCTTTTTTTATTTTCGTTTGGAAAGGGGGGGGGGGGGGTGACACCCACGCATGCGCCCACGGCGGCGAGAACAATGGCAACGCCGGCTCGTGGGGTGCAGGCCCGCCTGCCCACCTCGAGCTCACACGTGCGCATGAACAAGCCCCCGTTCTCGCCTGGTGTGCCGTGTGCTGCCGTCTCCGCTTCGCGCTTCGTCGGCGGCCTGGGCAGCAGCGGAAGATGCATTGCTCTTACCGAAACTGCGGAGCGAAATTCCCAGATTGTTCGTGAGGAAAATTCGTATTATCAAGGTTGTCTCGCGCTGTTACTTTGTTACATAGAGGTCAAAAATACATGTGCTTCTATGGAGCAATGACGGGGAATAGAAAAACTTCGTTATAACGAAGAATTCGTTATATGGAGGTTCATTAAAAGCAGGTTAAACTGCATAACAAATTTGAATGCCACTTCTAATAGTGTATACTTTTGCAGCCTCTTTAATAAAATTACTAGGAGCACATCACCATGTTTGTAGAAACCACTTTTATCTAGTGTTTGAAGCTAAATTACTTTTCGGCACACTATCGTGTACCGGATAACATGAAAAAGATTCAGGCTATGTTTTTTTCATACACTTACAGCGTATAGAAACTATGAACGTCTATTGTCAAGGATCAAAAAAATAGCTGTCAAGCATTCCAGATGAAAAAACGCAAAGGTGCTGAAGAAAGGTCATGGAAATTGAAATAGGTTAATATAAGAAATGATGCGTTGCATTTTCGTGAATAAAACAACCACTTCGTGACACATTCAGCACTATATGATTTCGATACATGCATTGTGGAATTTTCTTTCAGCCTCAAAGCAAGAAGCTGGTTCTGGAAAAAAAAATGTCAGGCGCTCGACACGCACACTAAAATTCAGTTGCCTTTTTAACTAAATAGCGTCCTCGTACTCTACTAAATACGCGATATGTCATCACTGCAATAAATGGGATTAAAAAACACGCATTAGAACAACTGAGTGGGTCACTGTCGTGACAACCACCAGCTAATTTGCTGCGGCTGCAGCCCTGAGGGAGCCGCCACCACCCGTTTCCCCGTGCCTTCCGTCCCCGCCGTGTCACGCTGCAGCGGCCGCAACTGCAACTACAGCTGACACGCGCTCTCCTGTTGAAAACCGCTCGATGCGGCAGGCCGTACTATGCGCTTCTTCATCCTGCGGCCGTTGTCATACAATACGAGCCTTTTATAGGCAAGCTAACTCTCACAAGCCATTCTTTAAATTTTAAAAGAAAGTACAGGATGCTGTAATGCTTTCTATGTACCTATTGTTTTCAATAGCTAAATAAGAAATTTGGCTTAGAAGACAAATGAATGCACACATCACCATAATAGTTTCAAAACTTCATTTCTCTGAAGTTCACTCTTCTCTCAAGTTAAGAGAGTGCAGCAAGGGCTCACCTGCTCCATTTCACCTGTGACAAGGGCAAGGAACTGGCAGTGTTGAGGCCAGATGATATCTGGAAAACATATAAAAAAATATTAAATCACGACTGCTGCCCCTACAAACAAAATATCTAAATTTATTACTTTATGGCTCAAAACCAATTCTCGTTTTCAGTACATACTGTTAGTATAGTTTAGTCAACTGATTGCAATTGATGCTCATAAATTTTCAAGAATGCAGATCAGGCCATATAAGTGCAGGTTACTGATGTATGTATGTTATATAGAATTACTTAGACAGGCATTCTATATAAAATGGAGAAAATCTTAACGTGTAGTAAGCAAGCGACCAAAATTTCCAGACTTTAGCGACTTCGATCTCCTTGAACTATTGCCATACCCAAACCTATGTATCTATTTACTTTTCTATACACCATTCACTTCATTTGCCAAGAAAGGTTCCACGTCAACATTGTATCCAAAACGATAATCACAGATGCTAATTAGAATCCCCCTGGGTCACATCTTCTATTCTTTACAAAAGTACTACATATATATAAAGTCACCTTGATAACAACTTTGCTCAAACAGAAACTTTTACTTTTTATGAGGTGGTTGCGGGGTTGCTATCACCCCATGTAAAGTCGTTTGCACCTCGTGGTGCACAAGTGTTTCGCAATTAACTGTATTTACGGCTCACAACCATCAAGCGGTAGGTAGGTGGCGTTGTGCTAGCGAGCGTTTATCTTTATCATCATGGTTAGCGCGGTAGGGCCAGCAGCGGCGAGGCTGGGTGGTGGTGGTGATATCTTTATTTCTCTCAGAAAAAATAATTTAAAAAATTGAGGGGACCAGTACAGAGACTGGTTGCGCTATTTCAGAGGAGGTCGGCTGGGATCGCTTGGGATACCACAGCCTCTACTGTGCGCTGGATAAGCCAGTGTTGGTCTTCTGGCTCGGAGGCACGTAAGAGGGACTCCCACGACTCTGGGGTGTTTGTGTTGTCTGTGTTGTAATGTGTGCACACAAACACCATATGTATGAGTGTCGCCGGATATGAGCAATGCTTGCACCTTGGCACTATCTATTCTGGGAAAGTTCTACTGTATAGGAGGGAGTGTGGGAAGCTGCCAGTCTGTAGTTTGTGCCATTGGACGGCCTTGCGTCTTGTTAAATCGTGGTGTGCAGGAGGGTATACGCATCTTCCGAGACGGTAGTACTGTAGGATGTCTGGGTGGCAGCACATGGCACATGAGTGGTGCCCTTTGGCATGAGGCGGCAGGCGAGAACGGTCGCCTTCTCGCAGCAGGTCTGTGAGGACGGCGCCGCGCGCCGTTTTCCGTGGGCGCATTGTGGCGCCTCGAGCGTTAGCGATGCCGCCTTCGCGTTACCTTGTTCGTTATTATGTTGTCTAGTGTATTGGAATATTGTATAAAGATGTATTCTAGCATGTTGATCACTACTGATGCATTTGGTTCGGCTGATATCGTTGATGTAAAAGTAGTTCAATAAACGTGTTCTTTGAATTACTTCGACAATGTCAGCTGTATCCGTTCGTTCCAAGAGCGCCGATCGCATTACGAGACCCCACAAGGTTTCACAACGCAAGTATTCCTACATTGGCTTGTACAAAGTTGCCACTTTGCAGTGGTTACAGCGTATTTGAAATTACATGAACATCAGCTCAATATTTTTTTTATATTATTCTAACCGATGCGTGATGTATGGAAAAATACAATTGACCTATTTTCTCACCCCAGCTGCCAATCGCAGCAAAAAAAACCATCAACCACAAGCTAAAAAACACAGTAGTGCTATGAGCATCACCTCATCTGGTTCTACGCCTGGCGGAAGTGGTTCAGTTGGGTCAAGCAGCTGTGCCAGCGGAAGCCTAGAGTGAGTAGCTGCAGAGGCCGCCTCGTCGGCTGCATCTTCTGTGGGACCGTGAAGATGACGGCGGGAGCTCTTCAAACTTGCGTGAGGGGCGTGACATCGTAGTGGAGCCCTGCTGCGTTGACGAGGAAGAAGCTGCTCCCTTTTCAGAAGCTGACCGAGACACTGTCTGTCGGCCCGTCGCGCCTGCACTGCCACTTGATTTCTCAGCATGGTGGTTTGTCTCTGTTGATCCTTTTGAGGCTTGCTTCACAGAAGACGACACCTTCTAAACAAAGAGGAGAAGCGACAAAGGTTTCGTTGCGATAACCGTCTCTCTTCTTGTTCACCTTCACGTTATATCTCTGAGTATCATGCAGCATTTGAACAGAACCCCAGCACACACACAAAGAAGTCCTTAGAAGTGTCTTACGTGAGGTCTTGTAGGTCTAGAGCTCTTAGAGGAATGAGAGAGGAGCGACCTTTGTTGCTCGTCCTTCTGAAAACAAAAGCTCACAGTGAGGTTCTAACTAACGAAAACAAAACAGTGAACTATTTGTGCTAAGCCCCCTCTCCCCCTCCCCAGCCAATGTCACTTACGGTAGACTCCTATTAAACGAAACCTGAAGGGCTTCGTTTAGAAGTAGTTTAGTGTATCAAGAGAAAAACAGGAGTAAAATATTCAAGTAAAAAACCAATCATATTAGAGACTTTTGTTCCATTTAAGCAGCAATTTTGTTCAAGAGAGTTTTGTTTAATGGTATCTACTGTACTTCAGTAGCTCTAATTTGTGGCGTCTTTTGTTCTGGGCATGTTGTGTACTACTGAAATGAATTTTGTAAAAGCAATCTTCCAAACTTTGATCACAATGATGATATATTTATCTCATGCGCCTCCCTTAATTCGCACCAAGTCCAACATGCACAAGGGCCTTTATTCTAGCTGTGATCAACACTACCTCAGTTGTAAAAATGGCAAGTGCGTTTTTCAGAGATGAAGTTGTCTCAGCTGGAAACATGGCCATACGTCCCACAAGGACCAACATGGATATGCGAAAATGTGAAAACAGCTTATTGCGCAAGTTCATGGTTCTCGTCGAATACATGTGAATACACAGATCTCAATAGCTGTTTTAATTTAAAGGCTGTTTCAAATGTCTGGGCATGAAGAAAATTTCCACAGCACTCAAGTGCACTGATTTACACAAACAGGAGGCCACATCAATAGCAGGAAGCAAGACAATGCATGTGCCTAGAACAGTGTCTGCTGCCACACATACGAATATAGCAAGCATGCTCTTCAGTATTGCGCAACAGCAGAGACCAAGACCACTTTTCATTTCAACACCACATATTCAAACACATCAACAAAACAAAGGCACTAAACGAGACTTGTCAAAAGGTCAAGCTGCAATATATGTGACCTACGCTCTAATGTGACATAGCAAACACCTTTTTATGAAAAGTTCAGGATGTGTCTGCTATTGGAGTGGAGAAATATACTACCTTCCAAGAAAATGCAGCTGTAACAAGGGCAGGTACTGGTTTTTCAGAATCTTCGATCCAACACCTATTCCCGCCTTCTTATCCCATTTGTTGCTGCTCTTACATTCAAACTGGTGTGCCTTTCTCAGTCCGAGCAGTGTATGCTGAATTCCATCCACAACAGTTCCATGCCTTGCATTGTCATGCTTAAATAGTAACAATCTCTGTCAGACCATTCAATTTTGAGTAGTCACAATGTCCACTCAATTCGGCTATTGTTCACCACAAGAGTATGCCCCCATCTATAAGTCATGAAACTTCTCCACTTTTGTTCCGTCAGGCAACCTTAGCAGTGACGTCTGCATAAATAATTCATCCAGTAGCTTTTGAATACACTTCTATAGAAGTCTGGAAGTAAAAAGGTAGCAGGAGTCTTGGAAAAAATAAAGAGCAGAAGGCAGCTAGCCTTATAAGCAATATTACGAGCTTTTCAACTGCATGTAAAGGATTACTAGTAGTCAACTCTGACATTTCTGATGCAATTGACTAATTATTATTTACAAGGCAATGAGCACATGAAGGAGGTCCCCCACAAACCTATATATTATTAAGATGGGCCAAAGACAGAACACCAGGACCCAAGCTAATCAGATACACCTAACCCCTAGGTGGAAATAACACTGCACACTATAAGTTCTGCAAAATACAGCAAAATTAAAGGCTCACTAACAAGAAAAACTTTGCCACAGCAAAGCATGATGCTCCAAACAAGGGTTCCTCTAATGAAAGAAGCCTCTGGTCACAGGTTCGACTCCCATACCAGGTAAAGCTATGATGCTTCAAGAGACAGCCATGTGGGTTTCCCTTTGAGCTTTGTGATGCCCTTGGGCAGAGGGCAAGATTCCCTTCAAGGTCATAGAATTAAGGCACAGGAATTTATGCTGCATTAATATATCAGAGCTCTGAACACATTACCACTTTCATAACGCCATTGGTAATGTATACACTCGGAATGGGTAACTCCAATACAACAATGAAACAGCTAAGCAGCCCCAAGCTTAAGGGGGCAGAGTGGTCTTAGACATCGTTTTGGTCATTTCTTCAGTGATCTTGATCAAACTGCACAGGATTACTGCAGTTTTTTTCGGCTGACTTCAAATATTTAATTAGTTTTCATGTACCTAATCTTGTTCCTGAGATAACTTAAGTTCACCTCCTATTGTTTAAAGCCAACAGAAAAAAAAGTGCTTAATTAAAATGTGATATTTAAGATATACCGATATAGACTAATGACTATAGATTGAAAGTTTACAAGAGTGTTTGTTTTTAGGCCTTTCTTGGTTATTTTACAAGCAGAATGAACTATCTATTTTCAAAAGCAGTTGGAATTGTGTTACATTTTTGATGAGTGATTATTAAAAAGTACTTGTGCTCTAAATTCTGCTTCCATACTTGCATTCTACACACATACAGGTTTCCGCTGCAAAAAAAATTCTTGTTGTACCTGCCCTAGCTGCACAGAGTATTGAGGCCTCTAAATTAAATAGTCGTAAATTTACTTTTTTGAGAAAAATGGAAAAAACTGAAAATGCACAGCTTCTTCAAAAAGCAACAATCATGGTGCACATGTTTTGCAATCCTCATAAAGGTGCTCATAAATTCGTAGCAGAGGTTCTAACACAGGTGCCAGCAAATTATAAAGAAGCCTCGAAGGCTCTTCCCCCCGATTTCTTGCAGGTTCTGCATGTTAACAGCACCAAAAATCTGGACAGCTAGAATGACATTACAAGAAAATTACCACTTCTTGGCATGAGAAAATTTGCAGCAAAAACCAAATATGACAATTTTAAAAATTAATTTTTTTGTCACTTTTTGGTCCCAAAACCACTCTGCCCCCTTAATAAACTTTCATTAAGGAATGTTACAGTGGCCACTTTCACAGAGCCACGAGAGATGCCTCAAATGCACCTTAATAAAAGTAAGAGCAAAAAGCCAAAGCAACGCTTACACGACTCTGAGGAGATTTTGCCCGGTTTTCTCGGCTCCTCTCTTTGTTGGATGTCGTCAGGACATCGTGTTGGCTCGGTCCTGAAGATCTCCCGCCACTCTTGTCTTCGTCTGGCCGCTGTCGTGACTGTCGATCTCTCGGTGAACGCGACCGTCTCCTTGGTGACCGCTCCTCCCTCAAACTCCTCTTGGACCGCGGCTCTTCCTCAAACTTGCGCTGTCGCTGCCGTGGCGGCTCGTCACCACCGGGCAGAGGCTGGTTTTCGTCCGTAGCGTTCGGCGCGGCGACCGCCGCTTGGAATCTCGATCACGCCCTTCTCGGCGGTCCCTAAAGCGGTCACGATTTCTGTCTAGGTTTCTGTCATGATTGCGGTCAGCATTCCGATCACGTCGTTCTCGTCGCTTATCTGAGGGGCTCGGACTGGACAAACAAAATATATTTTAGGAAAAGCACTGGTGTTGGGTTTTTTAAAAATCGGTCCCGCTTCTGACTCTTTTACCCTCTTAGGACTAGTTTACAAGATCACACAAGGTAGTCGATCACACAAACTGGTGCTTTTTCACGGTACAGTGCTTCAAGAGCACTTATAAATTCTATTCAAGAGCAAATTTTCACAGTAATGTTAAAATTATTACTAAAATAATGTCACAAAAAGAGCGCATGTAAAAAGTCTCCAGTAACATACATTAAAGTTATGCTTGAACAAACCACATCACCTACCATTCCACTACTGCGTAACGTCAGCCTTTTCTCTCTTCTGTACTGTGCTGTCCTACCAATGACACACTACAGAAACGCTGATGGCTTAACCAGCGAGACAGCTGCTAAATTTGAAATAAAAGGTTATAAATAGTAATTTTTAAAGAAGTATAGTGTGTATCTCACCTCCGTCGTGGCCTGTTTTCTTTTTCCTTTTCTTTGGCAGCCTGTTCCGTATGGTTAGTGAGCTCTCCCTCCTCAGGTAACCTGCAGGAAGAAGTGCTCAGAGGATAGGGGCTCGAGACCTGACGAATGTACACCAGATTGTTGTGTTTGATTATGTTTAAGTGGAGAGATGCCAATGCAATATTAGCCTGATCTACTGAGCTACTACTTGTATTCATTAATATTACCGTAATTACTCGAATCTAACGCGCACCTTTTTTCCGGTTAAGCGAGTTCATAAATCGCATGCGCGTTAGAATCGAGTACGAACAAAAAAATTACGGTCAATCTATTGCCATCGGCAAATCCAAAATGGCCGCCCCCTACGTGCGTCGGCATGGCGCGTCGGCCTATGTGTTTCCCATGTGCGGTCCTTCATACGTGTGCTGAGGAGTTCGTCATCTAGTAGTGCATTAGCATCGGCGGCGTGAAAGGGCCGAATCCAAAAACTCGAGTGCACCATGATGCCGCTTTTAAAAGAAAAGTCATCGCGTGTGCAGAAACGGACGGAAATCGGGCCGCATCGTGGTCGTTCGGAGTTCCCGAAACGTGCGTGCGGGACCGGCGGAAACAAAAGCAGAAGATTGTCGACATCAAAGCTTCATGCAAAGGCTTCAGTGGACCACAGCAGGGTCGGTTTCCGCAAATTAAAGAGCTGCTCGGCGAGTATGTGCTTGAGCAGCGAGCGGCACAGCGGCCCGTGAGGACAGAACTGCTCCAAGTGCGGGCTATGCAATTAGTCTTAGAAAAAGGTCTAATGCGGAGCCAGTTTAAAGCGAGCAGGTGCTGGCTAACTAACTTTATGAAGAGGAAAGGCTTTTCCCTCAGAAGGGGAACATGCATATGCGAAAAGTTTTGCAAAAGAGTACGATGAAAAGCTTCACAGTTTTCAGAGGTTCGTCCTAAACTTGCGGCGCAACAACGGCTACCTGCTTGGGCAAATCAGGAATGCCGATCAGACGCCTCTTTACTTCGACATGCCTGGCACCACAACCGTCGAGAAGGGGGCGAATCAAGTTCGCGTGCCGACATCGGTCTACGGTAAAACTACAGTGACGGCAATGCTCTGTTACACGTCAGATGGGCACAAGCTTCGCCTGTACCTCATATTTAAATGGAAGACGCTCTCGAAAGGAGTCGTTTTTTCTTGTGGTGTGATCGTGCGGGCCAGCGAGAAAAATGGGTGCGCGTTGCAATCGATGCTTTACGTTTTTTTTTTTTTCGCGGTGGAAATCGGGTGCACGTTACAATCGAGGGCGCGGTAGAATCGAGTAAATACGGTATTCATGGGACTGACTGTTTCAAAACAACAGTGAAGAGCTAGTCTATTATGTGCAGCTCCGGAATGTTCACATTTGAGCAGTTACCATTAAAGGGACTGACAACTGACTTTTTTCGATCCAGTCTTTTCCTGCGCGACAGAAAGCTTACCCTGCGTAGCGATCGCAGCTGCAGTAGTTAATCCCAAGAGCTCGTAGTCATTTTATAAGCAGTATTTTTCGATCTGAAAGGTTCTGAACACGGTAGTGCTTTTCATCCGGCAATGGTGAGTATTGATAGCGATGCTGGTAGCCTTTCTAGGTGGCTTATGCACGCTGTCGGTTCTTATTTCGCAGGATTTCCCGGAACTATGCTTAACCACGTTTATTCTGCGCTTTACAACTATTTTCGAAAATAACAAGCCGTTAGAATGAGACGGTGTGGCTCTATAGAGCTTCCAAGCATTTGTACCGCGTCACCAAGCCAAGTAATCTAAAACAGAACTGCACATATGTCACGCAAAGGCAGCGCCACTTCAATGCGTACTACTAATGCAAGCTTATACGTATACTTTTATAAAGTATTATCTTTTGCTATAAAGAATCAAACAACATTACAGTACTAATCAATAAATTGCTGACCGTGTATCCTTAACGCATGGTCACGTGACAGGGCATTTATGATAGTTCATGTTTTTGCCACCAGAGATGCCACAGGCCATTTCTTGCGATTTTCAATGTAGAACTAAAAATAAAAATCCACTTCTCACGAGAAAAACAGGTTGGTTTGAGTCACTATTAGGGCCAATCTTTCCATCCGTGAAGTCGTCTCATTTCATGTTACTGGGCAGTTGTTGGTCCCTTTAAGTTAAATAATTAGCTGCTTTCGAAAACAGTCAACCCTAGGCTGCATGTTTGCCAACCAGAGAGACATGCTGAAGTCTAGCAAAATAAGCGCCTACAGTCGAACCCCACTACAACGAAACTGACGGGTGCACGGAAAAAATTTTGTTGAAAGTGAAAATTTTGTTGTAGTGAAATCGAAAAAAAATATAGCTGATCTGAGCTAGAAAAACAAAGGAAGGTTTATTCTCAAAATGCAAAAAATTTCCACTGCTTCCTATTCTTTTCCAGCAGCTGTCACGACCTGATTCTCACCCATGCATAGCGAGGCCATGGTGAAAAGCACGCTTTCGTCCACGAACCAAACAGTCGAATTAACACGTTAAAACCAGCAGCTGTTCGCCATCAAAGTATCCAACAACGCCGAGACTGGAGGCAGGGTATTGTGGAGCGGCGACTTTTGCATTATTCTATCATCCATTTTAACATCCATCATTTACAGGGGCTGATTTTGTTGATAATGTGGACGAACAGCCGCTCTGATTAGTTACCACACTGGCCAAGCGCGAACACAATGATAAGTATCGGAAAATGCATCGTGCTGCGGTTGCACCCAGCAGCTGCGAGAAGGAAACCATGAACTGAGCAACTGAGCTTCAGCTTTGGATCATCTGCGGCTCAAAAGCAAGCCAGTAGCAAAACAACAGCAGGGCAGTCTCATTGACATCGCTATCGAGCAATGGCGGCGCCTATACTTGCTGAACAGCGGCGGTTTCTGGCGGTGCCAATGCGTGTTTCAGACTTCGTTGACGCATTTTCAGGCTCTGAAAAAGCATCGCAATGTTAAAGATTGGGTTTACAGCATAGCAATAAGTATCTGAGCCTGGAATTGCATTGTAAAATTTCGTTGAAGTGGGACGATCGAAAAAAAAGTGTTCGTTTTGGCAACAATATTATGCATTGGCTCCTATGGACTGCTTACGGGGAATCGTGAATTTTTCGTTATAGCGAATATTTTGTTGAAGTGGCATTTGTTGTAGCAAAGTTCGACTGTATTTTATTGGCTGTTGCAGACAGAAAAAATAAGAACACATGAGCCAGCCATGGCAGCTCCAGTGCCATTTATCAAAAAAAGAAAAGCCAGAAGAAATTATAGTACCGGTGCATAATAATGAACACACTACCATCAGTGGGCACAACACTGTTGTTCAGTTGCTCCATAAAGGATGCCCAAACTATTTATGTGGTGACAGTCAATAAATAAGCAATCGAAATTGCAACTGCGGTGCACGTATAGGAGGGCCTGTTAGCTACACCAAGGAGTACAATGACAGATATGCACAATAGCAAGCACACTCACTGTTCTTCTTGGCCAGCCTCTTGCTCACCATCCTGAGCAACATCAAGGGTGTCACGAAAAGGCCGCATCCGCGCTTGAGCCTGCCTCCAGTGAGGAGGTGTCTCACTGCCGGATCGACCGCCTTCAGGTGATGGCGTCCGGTAGCGCTGCAAGTCAGAAGAGATGACATAGCTGTTGCATAACATGACATACAGATGCAGTAACCATGGTCAAGCGCTAAATACTATCCCCATAAAACTACAGGAGTTCGACGGAATACCGTCAGGTCAAGTAAAGACATTGTTAAAAAAGCAGGTCACTCTTCAATCTAAAACAAAACAAGAATGATGTTTTGGGATCCGTGCGGATCCCTTGATTACAATCTACCCGAAGATTTCCAATGCTCAATTTAAATTTTCAAAAATTCATAAATGTTTGCTAGTGTCATTTGTATATGTACCCTTTGCCCAACTATAAGGCAACAAAAGGCAAGCTATTCCATTCTATCATCTAGTGTGTGCACATTACCCTGCTTAGAGCCAGCTCGCATAGTTGTTCAAGCAGTGGATTCAATTAAAGAGGTCTTGCATCACTTTTTGAATATGGTCAGAAAATGCTGTTACTCTGGACACAATGCTCCTGTGAACATGCAGGACATAATCAAACATGCAGCACACAGCAGGAGGCTTGGCCGTTTTGTGACGAAGAGCCAAACATTGTTTGCTCTCTCCTTGCAAATTACGCAGCAAGAAGGACCAACTATGCGTAGCAGGTGGGACTGACACGGCCTTTGGAAGTTCTCACAAAATTGCAAACACATACTCAGGGGTACTTCTATGTCCTAATACTTGTTTGTTTTGAGGTCAGCAAATAACAAATGCACACATGTTTCTACCATTGAAAAGTGTTGTATGATACCAACGTTATGCATGTTTGCCAAACCAAACCACTTGCTCTTTATTTGGTCAATGAAATGCAACATCGCAATTGCACACCACGAAAATGAAAAGACCCTCAGGTCTAAAAAGTCACATGACAGCAAGGCTCCACCCTGAATTATGGCACCTTTGTTCATGGTGGCCACATTCTCTATGCAGTATGTCCAAAAGAATGGAAGAAGATCAAGCACAGTGTAGGAAATTTCAGTTACAGCTACGCATTCTCCAACGAAAGTTCGTAATTCGTAATTCAATTTTATCACAGAACAACCACAACATATTTTTGTATTTCGACAAAGACCACACGAAACAACACAGACGAAACAAAAGCAAACAGAAACGCAGTGCAAGTCTTCAGAATGGCAGCTTGCTGATCAAGTTGGTAATGCATCTCACGAAGGCAGTTTGAAGCAACACAAAACTAAAGGAGAAAAACGTGCTTGCCAGGTTGGGGTTTCACTAGTGTTTCGATTGTTTGCCCTTGATTGCCTTGGCTGCAATACACTGTGCATTGGATCACAGTCTAAGTGAAGGTGGGCTAGTACCAATAGCTCCCTTTCACACAGAGTGTCACAAAACACACTTCAAGTTGACAGTGACCATCATTTTAATGTGTGCCCTAAGCTAGGTGCATGAGCAATATTGGCATCGAATCTCACTGAAACATGGCCAAAGTAACTACAGACCAAAATCTTATTAATATGTGTAGTATTCTCCTCAACAGCGGAAGCAATTGACTGGCTAGCTGGTGCACTGCTGCTGCATAGCAGTAGCAATCAACACACACAAAGAGGCACTATTCCATAGGGAACACGGGCTTACTTACCATGAAGCCACGACCTTTAATCTTGCGTCCCGAACGTGAGATCTGAGGACGGCGGCTGTAGAAGCCTCCCAGTCTTCTGCCTTGTGACCTGCGGGGACAAAAACTAATTGTCTCAGCAACACTATTACCCATCAAGCAGGTGCTGCCTTACCATTACTTTGCAAGGTGTATAATGTAAACTTAGAAAAAATTCTATACACTCTAATATACAATCGTTTCTCATTAGCCTGCTCGGCTAGTTCAGTTTGATACATTTGCAGCAGGGAATGATTAGACATGGCGTGCAAGGCAGCCTCCAGTACCAGGGGACAATGGCACTCACACAAAGTTGGGCTCATTGGGCACACGTCGCATCAAGAAGTTGTTTGCGGGCACCTCCGGTATTTCTTCAGGATTCACGAAGGACTGCTCAGCACTGTCGTCCACCTTGTCTATATGCTTCTCCGCACTGCCATAAAAAAAAAAAAAGAGAGAAAGAGAGAGGTGTGGGGGAAACTAGTAGGGCAGCTAAAAGATGAAACAGCACTATAAAACAAAGAAGAGTCTTTAACAAAGCCTACACCTTTGAACACATTTGCTTTGGCAGCAGCATTCTCCAAGAGAAGTATTTGCTCGAATGTAATCCGTGCTTACTTCCACATTTTTACTACCTTAAGTCAGCCCTCAGGCTATAATCAAATGCCTAAATTCAAGTTATCTAAAATGTGCAATGATGCATGCAATTCCTTCATTTTTGTCTTATTTTTTTCTTCCTGGAAGTCACGCCTCGCATTGAAATTGAGTAAATACAGTATAAAACCATTGTTAGTTCCCTGTAATACTATTACATACAGTATAGGTATGCACCAGTCTTAAAATACAGTATACCATAATTTAATAACATTGAGCAATAACTTATTTGTTTGTTGTGTTCTGATTGTTCAAATGTTGTGAGGTGAGCATTGTGTGTCACACGAAGTGTAAGTGTTCTGCTCCAACCAGCTACAATAGTGAATATGGAAGCCTCATTCTTGATGCACTACTTTTCACTAACATGACAAAAGTGATGGACCCCCTTAAACTCTTCTTACTAATAACAACACTAAACAGACTGGTCTGTCGTGCAAGATATGTACACTGAATGGCAACTGTCTCACACAGAGAAGAATTCACCATACAGCATATGCACAAATGAAAGCAGTGATGACCAACCTTTCGTCTCGCTTGCGTGACTTGTTCTTACGCGACTTTTTGGAGTGGTGCTTGTGGTGCTTGCGGTGTTTGTGTTCTGAGGCTTTCTCCCCAGAAGAGCCTTCTTCTGCTCCAGTACTGGGTGCATTGGATGCCGACCGCTTGTGTTTCTTGTCTGTGGGGATGACAAGAGCAAAAGGCTATATGTGTTTGAGCCTCTTCGACGCATTGTCGTGGCTTTCCAACACTTTGGTACGGTGAAACACGATACTGTGCCCGACAACTTGCATAATCACAGCACAAGTGTACTTACTTTATGTCCAAAATGGGTCTGAAAGTTATATATGTATGTTATGATTATGTGAAAAACCCGCAGCTACATTCCTGACAGGCAATGCTATGCAAACAGTACGTAACATGAAATGGTGACAAATGTGGCAAATTTGGCATGTTTGCAAAGATGTATGTCTTTGAGTATTGCATAAAAATATGAACGCAAAACACAGATGTAGACAGCACATGTGCTCATGCGTTGTCTTCATCTGTTTCTTGGCTGTGTTTTTATGCGTTACTCATTCAACATGATGACTTATTCCAGGTCTGTTGTAAACAATGCTGAAAGACAGTCTAAATGCAACCTCGCCTGCAAGTGGTAGCACAATTCAGTTTTTCTGGTGCTGTAGAAGCATAACTTTCTAAAAATGCAGTCCAACTTATTCCTTTTTTAGTGTCCTTGTGAAAGCAGGAAATATTCATCTTGTTTATATTGTGCAATGTTATTACAGTGTACAGAGTGCACAATTTCTACCAGTATATGTGGAAATAATCAAGCAACTAAGTATTTTTCCAAATAACACTTCCAGTTTATTGCCATGTATACTGTAATTTCACCAATTAGATACCCGGATTTCTCATAAACACAGCATGCATGGAAAGCTTCAACACATAAGATTTTTCTTTAAGTTGATGAGGTTTAGTGCTCCAAAACCACAATATGATCACGAGAGACGCTGTAGAGGAGCGCTCCAGAAGTTTCACAACCTGGGTTTATTCAGCGTGCACCTAAGTCTAGGTATACAGGCTACAAACATTTTCATCTTCGTCGAAAATGCGGGCGCTGCAGCCAGTATTCGATACCGCGACCTGCGAGTCATCAGTTGAGCACCATAATCACTAGACCACCGCAATGCATAAGCTTCAACAAAGTGGTTAGTTCAGAGCAGTAACAAAATTTGAGCAAGCTGATGTATTCATATTAATAAATGCACTAACCAAATTAACATATGCCGACACTAGCAATAACAAGCAGCCAATGATATAAAGGAACTCAGTACAACACACCCTTGTGCTTGCGTTTTAGCACAAGCTCGCCGCAGTTGGCAATGATCACTGGCTGCAATGGGCAGCTGTTGTTGTCCACAGGCTGCGACTCGATGGCCTGCACCACATCCTCACCCTTGATCACGTGACCGAACACCACGTGCACCCTGCAGGTTACAGGACATGCGTCAAGAGCTGTACAAGGTATGACGAGATCGGCATTCTTGATAAACCACGTGTCAGATGGCCATATTCAACGCCATTGTACCACAAGCCAAGTGGTCTCAAAATCATCTCAGCCCGCGCGCTGCAGTGATGCAATTTTTATCAGCAGGGGCCGAAAGAGGGAAAACAGTAGAAGCGGGGCGGGCAGTAGTGTGCTCAAATTGTTCGAAAACCTAACTTTCTGAAAGAAAACCTATCCCATATCTCATATAAATGGACTCCTTTTAGACAGAACTCGAAAAGGATCTACAAAACTCTTTCATTAACCAGAAGTTTTATTTCAGCAAAGTACACATATTCCATAAAACAAAAACTTTATTCAGTTAGTACCAACCCTAGCTTACTTATTGGAATGAGTAGGAGAAAAAAAGGAGCGAAGTGTGGTTTGCTCGGCATGGTTTAGCTGCTTCTTCACAAAGTAAGTACCCATGCCAGAGAAGATGGACAGAAACTCTCGACAACCCTCATGCTCAAAGTAGCCCTGCAAAAGTTCAACAGCCACTTTAACTGCACTGTCTGGTGGAAAAACTGCTATGGCAATAATGTAATCACAATCATCGCCGGACAAAGATTGCTCATCACCTTGCACTTCAGTGATCAGTTCCTTAAGGCTTTCCTCGCAACAGGTTTGAACATTTTCATCAATAGTCTTGTAGTCCTGTCGCGTGAAAGAGGCAGTGGGCACGGCTTGATTGAATATTGCATCCGCGTCAGCAGTACTTTCCTTTTCATGCGGTATTTGTTATTGTGCCTGAAAGCCCACGTGGCAGAAACATTTCTGCATCGTTGTCGCCTGTACTTGCTTCCAGGCTAGGGCCAAGGTGTGAATAGCTGCCAACAAATCTACATTGTAGCACTTGTCATTGTCTGTAAAAAGCAGCATGTGATGGAGAATATGTATGCGTAGTGAACTTTCACATTCTGAATATCCCCTTGATCCACTCGCTGGATCACTGCAGTTACATTGGCTGGCAATAAATCTTGCGTCCTCCTCCCAGAGCCAGTTTTCAAAGATGGACATTGTCATCCAAGCTCTTCCATTAGCATTATACGTGGTCGGAAGCTGTCGGACGCCCTTGAAACATGGGTGCTTTGACCGATTTTCGGGTCGGATTGCGGATAACTCGAAATCTTGACTGGGAGTGGAACGAAAATTTTGCCACCAGACCATTTCACAAGATTGGCGCAATGCTGCCACACCCAAAGTCCGTCGATTTCTTTTTTTCTTATTTAGCCACTCCTGCCACTACATTGATGCTTCACACAAACGCGAAATGTCTCAGGCCAGCGACATATCAACTGTGTCAAGCTACCCTGTGGCACGTCATGTGACACATACGCTGAGCAGGGAGGCCCTCTGCTCACTCTTGGCGTAGTTTGTCTCGTTCGCTTTATGCAGTGCACATGATTTTCCCTGAGATGTGATTTCCTTTCATCTGCACAAACCACTCTGTATGAATTTTTTGCTGACTGTGAGTGCAGTGCTTGTGATTTTCCCTGAGGTATGATTTCGTTCATCTGTGCAAACAAAGTGGTGAAAATTTTTCCCTCACTGTGACGAGCAGCAACTTAGCGTGAGTGCGGCCAGCATGGCAACAAAGCATTGCAAGTTGCTAACACTGGAAAAAAAGTTGCCCTAATAAAGGAAGTGGAGAAAGGAGGCTGAACAAAATCGAGCACCGCACAGGAATTCAGCATCCCTCTGTCTACGCTTTTTGACAGTGCTGAAGAACAAGCAGAAAGTGGTGAATGGATTTCAGCAGAGATTCTCCAGCCAGCAGAAGCAGGTTCGAGGGTCGAAGTTACCGAATGTTGAAGCGAAGTTGATGATACGACTGCGAAATGCCAGAGCGACCAACCTTCCTGTCACCACAGCAATTATGATAGAGAAGGCAGATGCTCTGGCCTTGCAAATGGGGCACACGAGCTGTAATCTGTGTGCCGCGAATTGTGACCCAAATTCAGAAATTGGCTGCTCTTGTTTTGAAATAAGGTCGAGTGCAACGGTGGGGAAGATTGACTGATGCAAGCAGCTGGGGGACACCTTCCTAGGCCCGAATATGACCGCAAAGCAGACAAACATTAAGCAGTTTTTCTCTGCTAAATATAAATGGCTGTGCGACAAAACCCAGCCAGTTAAAGCTCCTTGTATGCTATTTCTTTCTCTTTTAAAACTACAAGAGAAGAAAGATCAAAAACTGCTGCTGAAGAGCCAGTAAGCAGTAGTAATTTTTCTGAAAAGCACTCATCTTTTTTCCAGCACTCATTTTTTCCAGTGATTAGCACAACTTTGCTTATCTACGAAATCCATTTATATAGTAATTTTCTCTGGTTCTTACGACTTGAAGTTAATGAAGTATTACAGTATATACACAAGGTATTACTGTATATAAACAGTAACTGTAGTTAACAAGGTATTACTGCATATATAGTCTTAAGTATATACACAACACTATTCACACATACTTCAATATTTTAGTGATTATGAAGATTATGATGATCGTTGTTGCCCTGCTATTTGTAACAGGCGATCTAATGGAAAATCTGGATCTGGCACAAACAAAAACCAAAAAAGAAAACACACGCATAAAATAAAAAAAAGGCCCCGAACACTGGCTCGATATGCTTGCTGCCACCTCAATGTTTACATATCAGAGGCTAGAGTTAGGGTGTTGGTGCCAGACATTCTCGACAGAAATATCTCATGCAAGTTGCATATTTCATAAGAACACCTGCACTAGATTGCAATCGCTGACAACTTGTATTTGAAGGTACAAGATCAAAAAGACGTATCATAGAGCACAGATTGTGTGCGATGTTTGTGTTTAAGAGCCTTTACACCATGAATGGAAAAAGCTCATTTGACGACAGCAGGCTTATGATTCGACTCTCTCTGGCTCACTTACACTCGGTTGAAGCCGTGAGTCTTACCCCCGCATTCACAAACGCTCCTCGATTCGACTTTCACTTTTCACTCGACAGAGTTGAGCACAGCGCCACCGCTTGGCTGTAAATGACACTGTGCTACTCAAAAATCGCAGCAGATTATCGGTGGTATGCAGTGACTTGCTGTGCCTATAGAAGGTGCTCCCATCGGCTTTCTCAAGTGAAGGTGAAGCGTTGAGTGAAGGAACATTCTAGAATACGGGGGTAAGTCCAAGAGAGTCGGGCCGGGCAATATGTTGGTGAGTTTCAGTACGAGTGAGCCTGGCAGAGAAAAAGTTTAGAGAGAGTAGCCCGGTTGAGGAAAATTTTGTTGAGTGTGAGTCTGAGTGAGTACTTTTACTAACCTATGCTAGCAACAACCAAAACTTTATAGTAGTATAACATTTGAAAAGCCATAAGGCAATGAAAATGTGCTCTTTATACGTTCAACTTTCAGGTCTGGTCACTTTCAGGGCTACAGACTCATCGCTGGTGATAGAGCACTACAAGGCCAGATAAGTGAAGCATGTCAATGGCAACGAACACGGTGAGTAGACATGAAGCTTTAAACATAGTCATACATTCACATAATTTAGCAAACTGAATCTAAAGAAGACCATCATTATGTAATGAAGCTACACTGAAGCAAAGCGTATATACATATGAAATTTATGACAGAACACGGGCTCGCAATAATTTCCTGGAAATGCTACTGCTGTACCGTTTTCAGCAACTGGTCAAGGCACCAAATACCTCACAACAGCCAAATGATATTCGGAGAAAAGTTTCCTGCAAAAATTAAACTTTGGCATTCAGTAAGCACTACAACTGACTTGAGTTTAAATATAGTTACAATTTACATTTACTTTGAGGGCAATAATAACTAGCCTCTGACACATCAGATGACTGCATTTACATTTACAGAATATAATTTACAGAACAATGCAGAACATCATTATGCCCAGCTGCCGCTACCAGAACCCAATAAATGTACCTGCAAATACAGTGACAGAATGATATTGTAATCATGACATGGAGCCTGTTCTAAGTAGTCAGGAGATCTAAAAAATTCCTTGGCCAGAAAAAAGGGTACTGTTTGAACCCCAATGTTTCTTGCTCTCACTTGTACTCATATTTGTCTGGTGCTACACCTAATAAAAGAAAAGCTAGAGGAAAATGCATCACTGCAAATGTCTTTTACTACATAACCATAATCCTCGAATTTCACTCAGTGAACGATTATCCAAATTAATTAATAGAGCATGATGCTTACCCATCAAGATGAGGTGTTGGCTGTGTTGTGCTGTAAATAAACAAAAAAGCATGATCAGCGCAAGAACAATGTTTTCACATCTTCCATAAAATACACCCTTCACCGTTGATAAAACCACGACCTTAATTTAAACACACAACTTGTGAAACTCTTAGCACTTCATAAGAAAGCAAAATTGAAAAACTCTTGCATTTCAGGGTATTTCCATTTGACAGCATAGCCATATTAGACACAAAAATAATAAATTTCATAATGTAAAAGAGATGACAAGGATCTTATTTGTTAGAAGAAGGACAAGATGCTTCTTAGTACTGACACTGTGCAGTGCTAGGAAGCTGTAGTTTTCCTATGCATTGATATACAGAAGGAAAACACTTTGTGGAAACACTTTGAACAACAGTTTGCTATGGCACTGCATTTACATATCGTCAGGAGCAGTGACAGGGAACGTAAATTTGTATTTGGCAGTAAGCGTACGCTACTGCTTAGTAAGTACTTATGTCGCGTTTCTATCAGGTAAATATTATTAGCAAGGCTTTACTGTACATGAAGCAGAAGATAAAACAAGGTAACGCAGCACATGAAGGAATGACTCCTAATTTCTCTTAGGAGAACTACGAAACTTTGGTGAAAATATACATATTTTGCTCCCGTACTAGAACTTGAGTGGATGGTGTTTTTCCAAGAGATGCTTCACTGCACAGTGACAAAACATAACAAGGCAGTAGACAAACTCACATGAAAAACTGCGACCCATTGGTGTCCTTGCCCCGGTTGGCCATGGATAGCAGATATGGCTGATCATGCTTGAGCTCAAAGCCTTCATCTGCATTGAAAGGGACAAGAGAACTCATGTCAACAAGGCCAAATTCAAATGTGCCGTACTGCAACGTCATTAACATCACTTGACCCTACTAAAACTTAAGCCACTTTATTCTCTGAAAGGGCCCCTAAACCACCTACAGAAATACGAAAAACAAGCGCACTATTCTCTCCCGAGAATAATGCGGCACTATTCCTCACACTAACTGTTCATTCACGTGACATCAGGCTGTATAATAGGCTCTCCACTGGTCAATATACGAGAAATATCTGTTGTGAATTGTCGCCTACCCTGATTTGCCAAGCAGTTGAATACACCATCTGCCTTGTCTCGCATTGCTATCATGCACGTTAAACTGATTCCATAGATACGTGATAAACTGATCCCATCTTATTTGCTGCATTTCCAATTGCGCAAGTGCAGACAGCAGTATATGTTTCGAAAAGCACAAAATCCTTGCTGGCTCAACACTAAGTGCCGACATTCCACATATTTTTTCCTAAGAAATAAGTGGAGATGAGGAGACAGGCCTTGTGGGAAGAGTAATGAAGGCGAGAAAGAATCTTCTGTCTCACTTTTGAACTCATTGTGGTTTAGGAGCCCTTCAAGAGTAACACCAACGAAGTTTTACACGGCTTACATTCATTAAAAATTCGTAGTGCTAATGTCACCTACCAGTTCCAATCAAGAATAAAGAAAGCCAAGCTTCAGTAAAAGATTAAGCTTCTCATTTAGATAGTTTGTGCCTCACAAAAAGAAGAGAAAGAATGACAGCAATAGCAAGCAGCGCCTGATCTATGGCCAAAGTACGATCTATGAAATGACCATTTTACATGCGCATTACACGTGTTAGAGTCACACGTATATTGCATATGTAATACATTCCAGTATTATCCACTGGTGCTTTCATTCATACCGAATGCTCACTACGTCGCTCATGCGATTTGACCAGAGACAACAGACGGGCCAACATTGCAGAAGGTCACAATACATTAACGCATGTCTAGCACCAGGTGCTAGGCTTGGTGTTAGTCAAACACTGTGACAGTCGAATGTCAGTGAAAAAGAAAACAGTTGTTGGGGAAAAGGCGAATACATGTTATGTCCTGACATTGAAGTTAACTTTGTAAAGCTGGAAAACTGGGCGCTGCATATAATTGTTTTTTAACCCCTAAGACGCCCAAAAGGTTAGCTAGTGTGATGTAAATCTCAGGCCATCCCATCTTATATTTTCAGTGAGCCATGGGTGCCGGCCAATGTTTGGGGTTGTGCAAGCAACCACGCTGGTTGTCAATCTTGCAGATAACTGGTCATTTCTGTTGAGTGATGATGGGGCGGTTTTTAAATTGCAGAAGCGCTTGAAGGAGAACTAATTATACTATTTAGCGATTGAGGTGTCACAAAACGCTACCCTGCCTCGTCATTGTAGGGAGAATTTAGGAAGTACACTAGACTTCCAGTAAAAAGAAATGTAATTAGTGCTTAAATGTAATAACTACTCCTAAATGATTGGTTCCGCAATGGAGTTCTCCACCCTTGTTTAACTCTCGGTAAATAATAGGCCTGTCAAACAGAATGTATTTTCCAAGTCCCTTCAGGTTCCATTTAACGAGAGCCTAGTGTATGCACTCAGTGAGAAGAGAATTCTAACGCCCTCCATGCTCGAGCAGAGAGGGTGTCTGAATCAGCTAAAGGAAGAAGCAATGAGAGTGGCTGGACAGGACATCGAAGTGGCACTCATCAGCTTTCAATCGCAAGTACTGCTAGCACACTTTCCCTTCATTGCAAGCAGACCACCAACAATCTGAACAGTTATGCCTAATCAAATAATAATACGAAACACACCTTTGAAAGTCCCGCCGTATATGGATTCCCCACCACTTCCGTTACCTGGCAACACCAATAAAAGGAATGACAGGCAAATCATCAGTCAGCACAAGGCAATAACACACAGTGCATATTTCAACAGCTTCAAGCACCACAGGCATTGCCTGCTTCAGCAGAGTTCAATGACAAATACAACAGATACTCTTCAAGCTACTTTTCCTGAGACAGCCACATAGTATATGCGCGAGAGAAAGCATGCAGCAGCGAGAATTTACTGCAGGAGTAGGCCCACAAATTGTGCGCCAAGTCTGTCTTGGAGTATGCTTAGCAGCCAACATGCATAAATGTGCAAAGTAAAGTGTTGGGCTAGTTGGTTCTTTATAATTAAAAAACTGCACTACAGTTACTGCAAAATACAAATTTGGGAAGAAAACACACAAGGAAAGGGACAACACAAGCTAGAACTATCAACGGAATTTATTGAAAAATCATGAAGGTAAGAAGACTTCCAGGAGAGGGAAAGATCGGTTTACGGTAAATGTGGGGGGTCGGGGTGGGACGGCAATCTTGCTGAACTGTCGTCAGGTACTACACATGGGAATGATTATGATTACAGGGTGTAGCGATGACTCAAAGTTATTTTCCGAGTATGTTGTTTCTATTTCTGTATAAGTAAAATTTGGACGCTGATTCTGAAATATAGACATCTTGTCCTACAATTACGTTCCAGCTCATGGTGACTGCAAATGGCGCATAACGAAAGTGCTTACGCAACTCACTTCAATGTAGCTCTTAAACATACATATTAAGGAAATAAAAAGAATACTCAGACCTCAATATAACGAACCTAGATATAATGAAATTGGTTATGACTAAGTAAATGAAAAATGATTTCTCAACAGATATGATGTTAGGAATAAACCTTTATAACAAATTTTCAGGATATAACAAACTTATTTTCGTGTAAATTGCAACTCTGTAATAATGAGGTTTAAGTGTATAAGGGACGAAGGCAGCCATGTGTGGGCCGGACCTGTAGTGAAGGGTTGGTGTTTGAGACCTGTGGCCTCTTCTATTAAATAAGTGCATGCTGTGAGGCATGTCAGGGCCTCATTAACCCATCTTGAATAAACCCACACTAAACTTGGGATACAGATAGAACAATTGCTTGCACTATAAATTGCAACAACTATTGTAAGTCAGTTCATGTAATCAAAGCAAAGCAGGCAAGGAAGAGGCACTGTGCAGCTTACCAACAGAGAAGTCTCCCCCCTGGATCATAAAGCTGCGAATGACACGGTGAAACTTTACATTTTTGTAGTGGAGTGGCTTGCCTGTCGTCTTGCCTGTGCCACATTCTCCTGAAGAGTAAAAATGGAACGTTGATAGTGAGTTTGAACTATGTACTAACCGGCTATAGGGCGTTCTACCACAGTAGGCAATGCTGCCAGACACTTCCTCATTCAGTGATGTTAACAGCTGGGTGTAGACACGAACACTTACAGAGCCTCCCTCCAATTTTCGAAACGATTTTCTCGGAGGCAAAATGGTTAGCAGAATTTCTTGAAATAAATTGATATCTGACTCCGAGGTGGTTCCAGCAGTGATTTTTTCGAATATTTCCTTTGAGGCTTGAAATTAGACAACAAACATCTACTCTGGCTCCGAATGCACTCATAAGACACTATTCAACCTTCGTGCACAGCTTCATGAACTCTACAGAAAAATTAGCATGGTAAATGTGTCCAAACCTGTGCAAAGGGCCCGGAAGTTCTCGCATGTTATGGGACAGACGTCTGCAAACAGTTCGAAAACAATCCTCCCCGCTGCAAAAGAGAAAGAAAAAAATAGTACACAGACAAGAATGACTCTAACCCCAAGTGCCGAGTTACAAAACAATATGATTCGTGCTACGTGTTTGCTTGTACCAGTGACGAAAATACTGTTTTAGTATCTTTATGTTATTTCAAATATAGCTTGATACACAACCTGGTGGTGGTAGAAACATTTATTACCGCTGTAGAGCGCAGGGGCCGAGCCCCTTCACGGCATGTCTGTGCTCCCTCACTGTGAGGAGGCAACCTTACAAAGCAAAGTCTAAGCTGATCCTCTTCATAGTGCTGCTCTTGGAGGATTATTTTTCAATTGCATTAGTTAGGTATCGCCATTCTTTCAATGGTGCAACTCAGCATTGACGTTGTTGTCGTTACTACCAATACCTTATTCTAGACCCAGGTTATTCATTTTTAATACTATTTTGTATCATTCTTGAATCCCTTGCAGATGCCCAAGAAGATACTTCCTGGACCCTTGTAAGCATTCAAAATAGTATTCAGACTTGTTGCCATTTAGCACATAAATTTAGTGCCACAAGCACAAGATGTGGGTTTGATTTCCAACCTAGGCAGCCATTTTGATGAAGGCAAATGCAAAGAACACTTTTTGTTTAGATTTAATTGCATATTACAGAATCCCCGGTGGTCCGCATTAACTATTTGCGTGGCGTAGGGAAAATGGGTGTTTCCTGTAGGTTATACTAAATCTGTTTTGCTAAAGAAACTACTACATCTTAATATTATTAGTAGTACATCAACAAAAAGCAGAATGAGCTAATTATTTATGCATAAATTTTCATTAAGATGTATGTTAGGCAATCAACATGAATTACCAGATTCAAGTTTCCAGGACAAAATTGAACATAGTTTCTAATGACACGCTTCTATCTTGTAAGAAAAAATATAACAGAAATTCTGAAATATAGAAAATATACTGCCATATAATAGGCACCATTCCCTGAAAATTTCAAACTTTTTCATTGAATAGATCTTTTCGAAAAAAATCTTTTTGCAAGCACTGCAATTGAACTTGCCATGCAGCAAAGCAGTTCCTAGATGTAAATAATTGCATAACATTGCATTTCTTGTGGTAAGCTTCTTTTCTGCTCGGTTTTCTAATCACGCTTGCATTATTTCTTACACTTTCTTTAAGTTTCCATCCCAACAGGCTGGTGCTCTAATAAGAATTGAGATTGTCCGAAGCAGAAAGCAAAGCTGATTGATGTTCCGCGCTGGTTTGCATCATTGTTGGTCTCTGAAAGTGCGACCAAAAAGCACCACCCTCAGACTTGATGTTATTTATCAAATTAGTAACACCAGCCACGGGCGCGACAAAAATGCTGATACCTGCTATGTCTCAAGGCATGTGCATCGCATTTGGCGGCAGCCATTATCGCTTTCCCTTTCAGAGCACGTTAAAAATCAAGGCTTCACAGAAAAAAAAAAGGAACTACATAAAAAAAAACAGTGGTGGTTCTTTTCGTGAACAATACGGAATGTCTGAAAAATGACATTTCATACCATTACAGAAATTCATACCATTACATTATTGGTACAGAAAGAGTTATTCTGGGGCCACCCCACTACAACATGCCTCATAATCATAGTCACATAGTTTTGGCCTATAAAACCGAAACAGTAATTATCATCAACCGTACTTACCTGGTTCGTCCCCTATCTTCACATCAAAGAAGCAGCGAGGGTTGTACCGTTTTTTATCTATGGTCATCTTTCACCTGTAAGAAATAACAATGTTTGTTTCGACAAGTACCAACAACTTGTAGGTCATTAAGAATTGCCCTCTTCTATGACAAATATATTGCAATTAATGAAAGTGTGCTGCGAAGAGTCATAGTCCTTGGTAAAGTGATGTCCCCACAAGGCAAAAAAGGTTGCATTGAACATACTACTAGTTTTCTGGAAAGGCATGTAGAAAAATTAGGTTCGCATCTTCTTTTTTTGCCATGCACGTACCTATACAACTTTTACTGTGTAATGTAGAAGCAAGCGTCTTTAGATAAGTTAAAACCAAAATGATAAAGAATGAAAATCACTGTGGTACAAGTTGGAACATTCTATGGAGTTAGCACTGCTGTTCTCTCTAACAATTTTTTAACCTATACATGACACACCCATGCATGCAATTATTAATGTTGTAACAGACAGACAGACAAAGAACTTTATTGGGTTCTGAGAAAGGCTACTCTTTTAGAGCAACGTCGCGGGCCACTCCAACGTAGGAACGGGAAGGCCTACCCTTACCGCGGCATCGTGGGTTCTCTAGACAGCCCGTTGTTTTGGTATTAACTCTGCGCTTCATAAGAAAAAGTCTCAATCCTCTTCTCTGAGCCGACTTGGGCCCCGTAACGAGGGGTGCCGCCAGAGCATATGCGCGAAGTCCATAACCTCACCACAATCAGGACAAGTAGAGTCAAAATCCTCTGAGTTATAAACTTTTGTGTTCCTTTTACTTGGGCTACAATGGTTTTGTTGCAATACTGCTTGGGGGGGGGGGGGGGGGTAGTGGTATCACATATTCACATAATAATTACGAGCAAATAAGACAATGGGCAAAGGAAGTTCAACACAACAGTGCCTGTGGTGTGTGCTCATTTTTACTCGCCCTCTATCGTCCTATTTTCACTGCAAGTTTTATAAGGCTTCATTGAAACGCAATTGTGGTATTTCCAATTACCTTTGTTTTAGCTACATGTCTTTGATGTCTCAAGTGCAACACCATGAACACTTCTTTGACACGCCATTTTTGTAGAAAATTCATCCTAACAAGAATTTGTTAGAGCTGTTACAGCTTTTCTTAGTGTGTAGCATAGCCAGGAATGAGTTCAGTAGTGAGCACAATGTCGACTCCCAAGCGACACGATCACATGATGCAGAATTTAAACTGTGAAACAGGCAAGCTGCCTTGCAAGTCCCTAGCTTTGATATCTTTAAAAGGCAGCACATATCCCCTTCAGGTGCGAATTACAATGAACTGCTCGTAAATGTCTAAATTTTGCACAACATTCTAGGATGCTCGATATTACATTCCAAAAAAGGAAGTCAATAAATACGTTGTTTCCCGTGAGCCTTGATAATTAATTTTAATTAGCGTATATTTCAATATTGAGTTATTCTGCAGCCAGTCATTTTAGATGTTTACACAAAAAACATGGAAATCTTAGGCTCAAAATGCACGGGTAGTTCGTTTTTGGCCTTGATCATTATGAGCAAAGGAAACGAAGACTTATAAAGCGCGGCACGTCGACCAATCCGTCGAACACCGCGGTGTTTTCACTAAAACAATCGCCTGCAGTCACACGCAGAACATTGGAGCTAAATGAAGACACGTCGACTTGTGCACAAGATATATTGCTCGTCCTTTCTCACAGGTCAGAGGAACTGGCAAAAGCGACTGGCGTCCTGGACGCTGCGCCTGATAGGGATATGACAGGGCCAGTCGTAGCGTGCTGTCGAATTCGTGCCCAGCGCTGAAAATAGCAATGCGAAAACAGGCTGTGACGTCGTCCGTTTTGAAACGATCGCGCGGTTTATTAGAGGGCGGGGAACCTTCGTCGTGAGTTAACGAGCGACAACCAAAACCGAATAACGCTAAGGCGGCAATAGCCGATGAGAAAAACCGAGCAGATATACAAAACATTCAGCGCCACTGCGCGGACTTGTAATGGTGAAAGCGTTAGTTTTCATCACCAGATCGGAGGCGCTAGCCGGTGTCAGTGGACGCTGTAGTATGCCGATGTGCATCGTTTGCAATCAGTGCAAACAACTACGGGCAACAGATCACACGTGTTCCGCTTACAGAAACTGTACGCAAGATTTTGAGATCGTCTACAGAAACTTATTTTGTCACATACAAGGAGATATAAAGCAGAGCGCTCGCGCATGGTTCGGTGCCATGTTGGAAAAACTGCAGTTATTGCCGCGGCGGCACTACAAAATGCGCATTTTCGGTGGTTACGGTAGTAGCCGCTGCTTATTAAGACGATAGCGCACGCCTTTGACGCCCTGAAACAACCCTTTCTCGAAGGGATGCACCAATAGACAATTTGTAAATCGCGACGAAACCTTACCTAGCATCGGGCATCGGTAAACTCAAAGAACTCGGAAAGATCGACAACATCCCATGTTGCCAACGGCGAAAGCGATGATCCGCCGTTCACGTAAAGTCAGTAAGGTTCCCGGTCATTCAGTTCCTTTACTAAGCATGACCTGTCTACACTTTCTAATCACTCTTAAATTTAAAGAAATTAATTTTGTTATATATTGAAGTAGTGCACCTTAAACAGAGTACTAGTTTTAGCTAGTTGCGCTACGCCTTTTGGCGCGGACTTCAAACGTTAGGCAAGATGAGGAAGTTTGCTACACGTAGAAATTCGAGAGAAATAAAATTATATTGTAACGTTTACCAAGGAGGATTAAAAAAATTACTGGAGTGGAAATGATTGCCCAAGAGTGAAGCCACGCCTCTGACAAGAAAATGGCTGCGGCGGCCATGTTACTAGAGGCATAATAAAGTATCATCGGCGCTCAGTGATTAGCAATGGAACGTTTCCCTCGCTCGCCCAACTAGCTTAATGTGGAAACTTTTTCGGGTCAAATATTGCTTCGAGGGGGTCTTAGTGTTAGTAATTTTTCTTAGTAGGCCTCTAATTGCAGGCAAGGTTTTTTGGAGATGCAGTTACACATACTCGTTTTTGTGTGTTATTTCGTCGGGAACAACTATCTTTAATATAGAACTACCGTAGCATTTACGTTAACATATCAAAGCCACTTGATCTTTAAGTGGGCACTACCAAAAAAGAACATGTTTCCGCCATCTTGGCAGTGGCAAAAGCTGGCTTCATTTTTGCTGGCAAGGCATTGTGGGAGCTTCAACTCCAGCAAATTTTCATTAATCCTCCTTGGGTTTTACGAACCAGAACTGTGAGTAAGAGGCACATATTTCTTCATGGATACACTTATTCATCTTCAGAAAATGATAAATGAATATCTTATTCAGTCGGAAGGCTGGCTTCACGCAAATAAATTAGCCTTAACTATAAAAAAATCGAATCACTTCTTATTTCAATCCACCAACAAACCTTGTGACATTGAAATTACGTTAACATTTCAGGACACCATTTTAGAACGTGTAAAATTATAAAAACTCTTAGGCGTGAGGTTTGAAGAAATTTGTATGTCTTGGAGCACACACAAAACAAACTTACCTCAGAAATAAGCAGAGTAGTTGGTTTGGTTTACAAATTATCAGATCTAATTGATTTACACCTAAAGAAGGCGGTATGTTACGCTCATTTCTACTCCCGCTTATCATACTATACATTAATTTGGGGCTCCAGCAATGCCTTGCCAGAAGAATTGGAGCCACCTTTTGCCACTGCCAAGATGGCGGAAACATGCTCTTTTTCTGATAGTGCCCACTTAAAGATCAAGTAACTTCGATATGTTGCATAAATGCTATGTTAGTTCTGTATTAAAAGATAGTTGTTCCCGACGAAATAACACACAGAAACTAGTATGGATGACGGAATTTCCCAAGAACTTTGCCTCCAATTAGAGGCTCACGAAGGAAAACTAGCAACACTAAGACGCACTTGGAGCGCGATGTGGTCCGAAAAAGTTCTCACATTAAGGGGAGAGGCGGCTGGAGTGAGACGCTGTGCGGACGTGTTTCGCATGAGCTCCGGCTCGGTGACCGACTATCGGCGGACGCGCTTTTTTCTGGACTTGCTGTCAGTGGGCTCGTCTGCAGGAGGTTGCCCTGTACCTACGGACACCACTCGTTTAGGCAAGTTTGTCCCCGTTTTTGGAGTTTCCGAGATTTTCCTATCAACCCCGCGGTGGCAAGGCTAGGCCTATCTTCTAGGCCAAGCCTGGCCTGGGCCGCGTCGCCCGGCGTCTGACTTGCGCCCGGTGACCGTGGGTCTTGTTGGGCTGAAGATGGAGTACTACGTCGAAGGGGAGACTATAACACCCGAAGATTTTCAAGCGGGAGAGTGGGCTCCAGTGCTGAAGGCACAGGACCGATTTAAGAAGACTCGGCATGGCGACAACGCCAAGAGTAAGCCTTGCGAGACGCAGGCCAGCAGTGACGGGCGCAAGACGCACGGAGCGCAGCAAGTCAAGCGGGGGAAAGCGCCGGTATGGAAGAAACGCGGACCGTTTCTCAAGTTGCCAGCCACGGATTTCAAGATTGTGTACAGGCCCCAGAACTGGGACTTGAGTGTTGTGACAGCGAGAGAACTCGGATGTGCACTGAGAGCAGCAGCGCGTCTAACGAGTGCGATTGCCGCGGAAGAAGACATTGTGCGGGTTAATGGCACAAACATTACGTTGACGGTGAGCACACCGTGCATAAATCGCAGTGGGGCATATGCGACTGTGAAGACGCTCAAGCTGGGTGATCGTGACCTGCCGGTTTCGGCATTCGTGGCGCCGTTGGAGAACTCCGTGCGGGGAGTGATTTATAATGCTTATGATGGATGCCCAGTGGAAGAAGTTCGGGCGGGATTCCTGAAGAAGAATGAAGGCATAGACATTCTAGACGCGAGACCTCTGGGAAAGTCAAAGGCGATTCAGATTACGTTCGGGGGAAAACGCATACCCCGGCAGATTACTTACTGGAACTGTCTGTACGCTGTGATCCCGTACAGAAATTTAGTCGAGACCTGCTACAACTGCAGACGAGTTGGACATCGAGCGGACGTTTGCTATCGTCCAAAGAGCAACCTATGTCACCGTTGAGGGAAGGACCATCCTGCCCCACCAGAAGGAGAGCCACCTACGTGCACGCCGGTCGGCATCGTGTGCCATGGTGCGCATCACACAGGGAGCCGGAACTGCAAGTTTCGCCTGGCTCGCAAGCCACCGACAGGCCGGCAGCAGAGCATGGAAAGAGAGAGCGAAGCTGGCAACGATAAGCGTTCCTCGAGGGCCACGGAGCGGTCACCGAGGGGTAAAGAAGGCAGAAGCAGAAGCAGGGACCGGTCGAGTTCCTTCCCGCCATTGCCAGGGCGCGGGGGCGGCCAAGATGGTGGACGAGCATCCAGTACCAACAGCTGCGCACGCGACACCAACAAAAAGGTGAGCTTGTCAAGCACGGCCTCCCAGAACGAAACCGCTCGAGAGACGGAGTTAGCAGCGCTGGTTCAGCGACAGGGAGACTTGATTAAAAGAATGGAAAACAGAATTGCAGAGATGGAACGCGCACTTAGAAACGACCAACGGCAGGGGACACAGGCACCAGCAGTGCAAGGCCTACAGAAAGCGACGCAAGAGGCGTCGGCTCGCGTACAGGAGAGTGCAGCTATGGAAGTGGAGAATCGGGGGACAGTGAAGAGGCCACTGCCGGGAGATGAGGTAGCTAATTCAAAACGATTAGCCGAAACGTCACCAGTAGACATGCCACAGCCTGTTTTTAAGGTCATTAGCCTTAAGTCGGATGTAACAACACTTGCGGATAAAGTAGGCAAGCAAGGGAAAAGACAGGATAGGTTGGAGGCTCGAGTCGAAGAGATCGAAGCCAGGTTAGACACAATAGAGGAGCGTCTCGGCATGCTCTCCACTGAATTTAAGGATTCCCAAACCCAGGTCATGGGCATGTTTCAGCAGCTTCATACTCTATTGGAGGCAAGACTGCCTCCCGTGGGTGGCCAAGTGCCATTAGTCAACCTGGTGCCTCATCATGGCGCCTCGCCAGCAAATTGAGGTTTGGCAGTGGAACTGCAGGGGCTTTCGTCAAAAGCGGGGTAACCTGCAGTTGCACGCACAAAATCTGGACAGTAAACAAGACATAATAGCCTTACAGGAGGCTAGTGGTTCCGTAAAATTACCTGGATTTAAGGCATTTACAGCGCCAGGAACTGATTCAAGGGGCGTATCACGCGTCTTCACAGCCGTGCTAGTCCATCGCAACATCACTGCCATTAAGCATTCCGTAGATAGCAGCAGGGAAGACTATGTCTTGCTTGAGATTTTGCCTAAACGAAAGTATGAGAAGAGTCTGTTTTTACTTAATGTGTATAGTTCTCCAAAAGATAAAGGATTGGGCTTGCCACAACTCCTGATTCAAACTCAACGGTTAGCAGCTCGCGCTCCGCTTATAGTGGTAGGAGATTTCAATGCGCCTCACCCAGAGTGGGGTTATATTCGAGCCAGCCCAAAGGGCAATCGGCTTTGGCAAGTTGCCCGGGATCTGCGATGGACGCTGTTAAACAATCCACAAGATCATACGAGGATAGGCAACAGCATAAGCATGGATACCTCCCCAGACCTTACGTTTTTTAGAGGCATCAGTAATGCAAAGTGGATTAACACGGGACAAGCGATAGGAAGTGATCACTATATCCTTTCCACGACGTTTAGCGCTGCGAAGCATAAAGACAAAGTGAGGGGGCATAGAATTACAGATTCAGACAGATTTAGGAAAAACAGAGCAGACACTGTAAACGGGAAAATTAATGACCTGGATGCATGGGTACAGGCGCTCAAGGAGGATGTAAGTAATACACGGTAGAAGTGCCAGTCGAGCAGGAGGAGTTTACCGCTGACTCAAGACTATTACACATGTGGGAAGCGCACGCGAGTCTCTTGAGAAGGTGGAAGAAGCAAAAACATAATGGCGTCCTTCGCAGAAGGACTGCCAAGTTAGAACGTAAAATCGAAAATTATACAATTGAGTTGCAAGCCAAGCAGTGGGGCCAGATTTGTGATCGCATGAATGGACAGTTTGGATGCAAAAAGACATGGCAGCTGTTAAGGCATCTTTTGGATCCGGCAGCAACAAAATCGGCGCAACGGGGGCAAATGACTCGGTTAATGCATCAATATGAAGGCACAATTGGAGAGTTTATACAGGAACTCCGGAATCGGTACATAACTGATGGAGTAGACGGTTGCTTACCACACTACTCGGGGGTGGAAAACTCAGACCTAGATGAAGAGTTCACAATTGCGGAGGTGGAGTTTGCCATGGGGCAGCTGCGTACTACGTCTGCCGCAGGTCCGGATGGAGTTACTAATAAAATGCTGAGAAACCTAGACTTCAAATCGGTCGGGGCGATCACTGACTTGATAAATGAGTATTGGGTGGCCGGGGAGATCCCAGC